TTTTTTTTTTTTTTTTTTAAAAATAGAAAAATCGCGCGGCACATGCGCCGCGAGTTCTATTATTATACGGGCACAGGTCGGATTACTCGGCGTGCGTTCGGCGGCGGCGGCGGCGGCGACGGCGGCAACGGCACCAGTGCAACGGAATCCAATACGGCATAACCGTTCGTATCTTCATCGCTGTGGGGCAGCTCTCTCGCTCAGCGCACCGGTGTTCCGCCGCGTTATCAGTGTCTCGGCCGTTGTTATCAGTGTGACGTTAGTGTTTCGGGTTTTTTTTTTTTTTTATTCGCGATATTTCAATTCCGTACGCCGATCTTTTCGCGTTTGCCCGATCCGCCGTTCGCCCGTTTCGCGTGTGCGCGTAGTGCGCGGATGACCGGTCGTAGGCGGTCAAGTGCATGAGGTGGACAGCGATGGACAGTGCGTCTGGCGGTGGCGGCCGCGACAACAGATTCGGCATGGGCTACGCGTCGAACATGTCGCTGTTGGACCCGTCGGACATCTACAACAACGGCGTCGGCGGCGGCGGTGGCGGCCAACAGCAACGTCCGTCCACGTCGCGCTCGCCGTCCATGATCGGTTGCGGTCCCGTGCTTCAGCGTGGCATCAAGCGGACTCTTGGGCCCGGCAACAACATGTGCTACGAACCGACCGACCACCATCGGTTGGTCGACGATAATTTTTCGCCACCTTCCATCAAGGACGTTTCGCCGTCCAACGGCAAGAAGACCAAGGGTAGAGTTAAAATCAAAATGGAATACATTGAGAATAAGCTTCGCAGGTATACAACGTTCTCCAAGAGGAAAACTGGCATTATGAAAAAGGTAAGTCAACAGAATTTATTTAATATTGCTTACATTGCATATGGCTTACTAGTCGTCGTTGCAGTCGATTCAGGTTAAAAATTGTCTGTTTAAATCTATTTAAACAATCATTTTTACTAAATAACCAACATTTATGTCGGATCCACGCACAGATCAATATTGTCCTTATAAGAACAACCGTCTTGTTTTTTCTGCATATATTCAATTTTGTATTCATCTCTTTTTCAATTCAAAATTTTACTCGTTCGGAGATTCTTTTAAAATATTAATTTATTATTTCTATGTGATCTTATTTTATGAAATCGTGGTGGCTGTTTATAGGCATTATAAATGTTTATTTATCTTACGAACAATAAATGACCTTCATATGATTTAAAACATAAAGAACAGATGGTCAATTTCTTTCTGTATTGTTTTTTAATTTTGCAAGTAATCGTTCAACTGTTTCATAGAGAATTGTAGATAGTAAAAATTTATGTTGTATAAAATAAAGTTGTCACATGAAGTTATTATTATAACTCATATTTTAACAAACAGATGTGTGTTTGGACTCATTGTAATCTTCAGACCACCATATGTACAAAACATGCTTAAAATAGTAAAAGAAAAAAATAGCTATATTTTATAATTGTTTAATAAATTATTATTCAATTTTAATTCAAAGAATTTTTAAAATTTATTATTTATAAAACAATGGCATATTATGTTTCATATGTATTATTTAATAAGTTAACTTACACTTACTGTTAACTTGGATAACTATAAAATTATTCTATTTAATGAATCATATCTAATAATACATTTTTAAAATATATTCTACAAATGTTCTAACATTATCACTATAAAAATGTTTATAGCATTATGTAGGTAGATACCAAATAGTATAATTTTCATTTTTTGTATTATATTTAACATGAAATGTTACAAACTTAAATTATTTGTTTAGTTTTTACTATAATATTTAAGTATTTAATACATTAAAAAATTCTGAGATAAACACAACTATTTATAGTACTATAACTAGACCAGATGTTCTGTCATTTTCCTAAGATTGAATAACAATTTTAATTTGGGAACATTTTTTTTTTTGACTTTTTTATTAACAAAATAGTATATGATACATTTTTTATCATATTGATTATGATTTGGTACTTAATACTACTTTATACTTTTTTATTCCATATAATATTAAATAAAATATTTTGTACATTTCATTGTTGCCAATAATTTTTTTTATTCTAAATTTTTTCTTATATTGATTAACAGCAGTAAAACATATTTATGATGAATTTTAATTTGTTGAAATATTTTAACATTTATTAAATAATCTAAGAATCGTTAATTTTTTTTTTTTTATATAAGATATATTTTTAATATAATGTAATATTTTAGTTGTTGAATCAGGAAATTTGTAATTGATTTTATATAATAAATAAGGGGTACTCACAATTGATGATTGTAATGTGAATAATTAAAATTAACACAATTTGATAGAACTTCAAAAAAGTAAATTATCAGTACTAGCTTTTAAAATATCTTACAATTTATTTTATTTTCAAAAATAACAAGTTCAAAGTTAAACGTTTTAATAAGAATGTTATTTTTGAAAATTAAATAAATTGTAAGATATTTTAAACACTAGCATTGATAATTTACTTTTTTGAAGTTCTATCAAATTGTGTTAATTTTAATTAATAATTATAGTTAAAAGATTATTTGTGTTTAGTTAATTGTATGTGTTCATGATTTCTTTTTTTAGTCATTTATGATTTACTAGTATTATTTTAATTACTTTTTCTTAGTTTGCTTTAATTTTTAAAATTTGACCATATTTTTTCTTATAAATTGTTCAATTTTTTTAGGCATATGAGTTGTCAACATTGACTGGTACACAAGTAATGCTGTTAGTAGCATCTGAAACGGGTCATGTTTATACATTTGCTACACGCAAGTTACAGCCAATGATTACTTCTGAAGCGGGTAAAGCACTTATACAGACATGTTTAAACTCACCAGATCCATGTCCTTCTTCATCTGGTGCTAACTCAGGGGACCAACGCATGTCTGCGACTGGATTTGAAGAAACCGATCTGTCATACAACATCGGCGATGACCACGATTCCAAAGTAAGGCAGTTTGTGTATGGCCAACAGAGTCCTGTCCACCATCCACACCATCAACAACACCATCCCCAACACATCATGGCCATGTCCCCGCCTGCTCATCTCATACCCTCATCTAGTCCCAGCCCGCTGATGCACACGGCCAACTATCAACAACAGTGCACGTCCCCGCTGCCATTACACCAGTACCCTCACATGGCGTCCCATTCACACAATCAGCGGTAATGTTCAGTTGAACTCGCATTGACGGGATGATAAATTAAAAAAACAAATTAATAAAATTGAAGTAGACTGAGCTATTGTGTCTGTACGAGGAAAAATATATTACTAAAAAATCGAATGCCCGGCAATGAGTTCAACCGAACATTGTCACATCTACGTCTACAGTGTAGACAATCCTATTCGTCCGTGTTGATTGCTGTGTGTTATGCTTTGTGTGTTATGTTAATTTTTGCTGTGTTGTAGTTTATAATATAACCTTAAATCACTACTTGTCCATTATTTTTATAGTGGAGTCCCGTTCGAAATAAAATTACAATTTTTTTAAATTTTATTTTATTTTATCATGTTTTTTATACTTATGTTTCGAACGTAGCTTTTGCTTGCGCAGCCGGTGCATGTTAGATTTTTGTTTGTATTCCAGAGTTAAAAAAAAAAAAAATTGAAAACATTAGTCGCCGGACTATTTTTTCCTCTTATTAGTTGGTTTCGAGTTGTGTCCCGTTTGGCGTTCTATTCGATCGACTGGCGGTAGTGACGAATTTAGGGTGCCTCGGCCTCCGTTGATTTGTCAATTATCGTTATTATTACTATTATCATCATATTTTTATGAAACAGTCGGCGAGCTTCACAGCGCGTGGGTATCGACGGCGGCGGCGGCGGGCACGTGCGTAGGTGTCGACGGCCCGGCCGCAACGATGGTAGTATTATGCCTACGCGCGCTGGACCGGTTGTGTCGTACGCTGCTGCTTCTGTTGCCGACGATTTCGGTCCGTTTTTCCCGGACGGTTTACATTGCCGTCTTGGGTTTTCTCACGGGATCGCCGCTGTGCGGTCCGAGTTCGCGAGCAATTTATTACATGATCTAACACTGTGTATATCGAAAAACCGGACCGTGTATTGTAATAATATTAACAATAATAATAAAAATAATAATACGCAACAGAAACAACAACAATAATAATATCGAGTACGTGCCCGGGATCGGTAAGCAGTAGCAACGACGGCAGTAGTGACGCGTAGGTCGTGAGAACAGAACGGCAATCGCGTAACGATTAGAAATGGATAAAAAAAAATTGATTTTATTGAAAGAAAAAAAACAGTTATTGGTAATCACGTGTAATTACGCGGCACGTATTGGTCTCTCGTTTTGTACCTATTCTTGTAAATATAAAACAATTTTATATATATATATATAAATGGTATCATAGTATTATTTTTATTTATTATTTTGTAAAAAAAAAAAACCCATACGTTGTACATTATTTATTATTTTTTTATATTATATTTTAATTTATTGTTGTAAAATAATTTAGAGAATACGTTGTTCACACATGTATATGTGTGTATTTATACATAAGAAACAAAGTGCCTTTTAACTACAAAACTATGTTATCCATCCGTAATGAAAAAATACGAGGTTTGGTCTAGTCCGAATTCGATAGGTGTTATGTACCTTAACATATTATATTTTAATAAAATTATAGACCATTGTTATCAAGGCTGTGATATTTATCAGTAAAATAATATAATTATATAATATATTTTATACATGTGCATGTAATGTATTGATTATCACGAACAGCCGAGGGTTTCGGTATTTTGTTAGCAATGTACACACAATATTAAAAGAACAAAAATACAATGAATACAATATTATAATATGTTTTGAAAGTGTTATGTGTACTTAATGTCATCGACTAGTGTTTACCTCCGTATTTTTTAATTGGTTGCTACCCTTGCACGTGCTGACGATTACGAGACGATTTTTTTTATGAAAAGTACGCGCGCGGAACGTAATCGAAAGAGCTTATAGGTAGTTTACTAAGTATTATACTCTAGGTATTTGGTATGATAAGACCCCGTTCAGAAATCAAGAAAACGACGTAATTTAGTGTGACTTTAATTTATTTTATTTTTTTCGACATTTTGGGCGTGTGCGACTGACGTGGGACGACACGTCGTCGTCGGTCATTTCGTTGTGTACACACGTTTTTATTTCCCAATTCGGGCGGCGGTTACGCGTCGATATTATTGTATACCTCCTCCAAACGTTACTCACTGCACTCATACGCAGGAGTTACGTTCATTCATGCCTAATATTATTGTCGCCCACCATACACACTCGTACCCGTTGCCGGTGCGCGTCCGCACGACAATAATTACGTGAGCGCCGCGCGGAGACGCCCACCCGTCGCACCGGCGTCGACGGGAAGTTTTCAATGTGTGTTACACTTGAAACCAGTGTGCCCACACGCGGTAAAAGAATTACGTGGCCCACACACCGGACGACGTTCTCGCCGGAGCGCGCGTGAGTGTTGCGAAACGGTTATTCGGACGCGGGTTTTTCGCTTTCGTTTCCGGTGGAAATCTCGGGGCCGGGCGAGATTTTCGAGGGGCCGTGTTAGACGGTCCCGCCGGGAACTCGGTGCGGCCGGTCCTCGAAGCCGACCAGATGTTTGCCCTCCTCGCCAACTACCTCCACGCCGAGCAGCAGTAATTCCGATCCGCCCCGCGGGAATATTACAACAATAAATGAACAAGTGCCGTTTCCCCGGTAAATGGCCGTCTTGCTACGAAAGTTCGTGCGTACAGGAATGTCGGTACACCCGCTGGCGAGTATAACCGAATATCTTGATATCAAACTTTATCCAGAACCGGGGCGTTACCTTTTGCGAGGCCCTGGGCAAAACTTATTTAGCCCATAACAATATTCACCTATAGGCTGTAGGCCGCAATTAAAGGTGATAACATGCGGACTCGGTGACAGCTGCACGCGACATCGGGTTGACTGATTAAATTTAAGAAATACGATAAAATACATTTCCTATATATTCCGGTTTACATACAGTGCGGCGTGCCGTCGTCGTTGGTGCGTACATGACATGTTAAATATAATATTGTTGTTTTGTTAATTGGTTTTTTATTATATGCCAACGGATTTCTCTAGACATTGCACTCGCCAGGCGATCCACAAATTTCGCGTTTTATTTTATGATATATATGATATGATATTATTTATATTATTTCTGATATGATATGTATTTTTTCGTACAAAATATTTTTCAATTAAAATTTTAAGCGCGAGGCCCTGGACAAATGCTCCTTTTTGCCTTCTAACGCCGGCCCTGACTTTATACCGTAATTTAAACCATAACTACTTCTACGAGATTCTCGTCCACGTCACACGTAACGTGATGATCGAGCGAGATTCCACGCCCAGTTTAAAAAAATTTAAAACAGTTTAAGCTTTTTCAAACCGTATGGGCACATTGTTCATAGCCTCTCGGCATATTCGATCAAGCTGTACACGATATTATGGCGTCCCACGCGTCGTTGTCGGTGCGTAATCAATCGCTGAGCACGTTGTAAGCTAACGTTTGCAAAACGACTTCAACGTTTATAGTTTTGCACAACAAGCGCGGCGCGCGTGTGTGTGTGGTTTTTTCAAGCGATCCACGTAATCGTAACGCGTATTTATTTAGTTGACAATGTTAACTGCCTTGTATGTTATCTGTTACAGTAGTGTTCAGGGGAGTTAGGTTGAAGGTTTCACAAAAAAATATCGGTCGATCCTTGTAGGCTTCCTGTATTCGAATCAAGCACCTGTATGTATAAGCGTAGGAACACTCGCGCTGACGACAGACCATCTTAACGGAGTGCTTCATGTTATGCGTGCGTGTCTGTACAACAGATGATTGCTTTTGTTTTCCGCGGTGTGTTAATTTTAAATGCTGTCCGTGCACAGCACGAGGTAAGTACGCACACCCATTTGTGCATTGCATGATTTTATCATTTGATTCTAAGCTGTGCTGTGCTATTTATTATTTTGTTCGCCTAAAAACTGCATGTATTGGTGAATTTGCTACAAATGAAATGGTGAAAATATTACGATCATCGCGCGATGCATCAATTACACCGTTATATGTCGAGCATGTTAATGCTATAGTATTAGTATTAATCAAATCCAAGTGTATAACTCGAATTAACTCTCAAAGGATACCTTTTGGTAACTGTACGAGAAACAGTATAATCATTAACATCTGATCGAATATTCCGTGGAAGGGTTGATTTCTTAACTGCATGTTAAATATTTTACAATTTGTAAAAAAAATCGTACTTATAAAGAACCAACGATCAAACGATTGTCATCATAACGATATGATATTATTACGATCGCAGTGGTATACAGATATGTGTTGTTTTTCATTTAAAATGTCCTTTGAAGTCTAAGTTTACGACATTATCGGAGGAGTATAAACAATATTTGTACACATATTGCCCAGAGTCGAAGATTAAAAATTAAGAACTGCTTTTTAAGTATTTGCTTACTATACAATGGTTTTCTTATTTACATGGACAAACCCAGAGCACCAATTAGCCAATTGTTTTAACTTTTTTAGTGTATAACACAACATCTACATTCATCCTTTTCGACAAATTGTTACATTAAAATTCGTTAACTTTTTACCTTGGCCGGGGTAATCACATTTTTCATCTTATTCTATCACTGAATAGTAACAAAAGTTATTTGTGTTTACGGTATAATATGCATGATGATGAAAATGTAACGATTTGAAATTAACCGCAAAGTTATCTAAATACATGTTTAAAATTAAACAATTCTGTGCAGGTCAAATATTATCGTTATGAAAAACATTTACCATTTTTGAGTAAAAATTAAATTAAATTATTAAATAATTTTAAGGGTCGAATGTAATTGAAATACATTAAAAATAATTTCTAAGACAGAGAGCATAATTCAACAATATTAAAACAGTACTAAAACTGAAACCTTAAGGAAGAAATAATTGTATACAATTTTATTTCTTAACATCAGTGCAACATAAAACCTAAAACTAATCACAGTTAGAATCAAGAAGTCTATTGAGATCGATAATTTATTAACTAAGAGTTAAATTCGAATAAAACAAGGATGTACACCAAAATTTATACGGTAGTGGGGATTAGTAAATATATTATTTATTCAAGAAAAGTTTGAGAAAACCTTAATCCTATTCAGCCCAGTAAGTGTTGACGAACAATGTGACCATTTTTTAGATAATAGATAAATTAAATATCTGAAAATGGTCTCCTTAGTTTCGATTAGCGAATTCATATCTATTAATACCGTAATGTTTTCATATAAATTCCTTGATATAAGTAAAATTATGACATACGTTGTTCGTTTTAAATTTTTTTATTAGATAAATATAGATTAATACAATATCATTGTAAGCCTAAAATATATATAAAAATCTATATAGAGAA